AGTGCTATTGGTATTATTAGCGTTATTAGTATTATTAATATCATAAGTATCTTTGGTATTATTAGTATTATTAGTACGCTTTGTACTATTAGTACCATTATTATTATTAGTATTTGAAAAAAGTACAAGCGTTTTCGTATTTATTTTTAAATTCAATGTATACTTTCTTAACAAATTATACAAAGTATATTTTTAAATTATAATTTTCAATTCAATACAATTTAAGATATTATGACTTTTTGAAAAAAGAATCACTAAGAAAATATAATTTACACTCAAATACGCGTGCTGCTCTTTCGGGACTTGAAATGCATGAGAAGCAACCGAAAAGACAGTTCAGTAGGGAAGCTAAAAAACCGTATAAAATTAACGTTCTTTTTATATTTTAAGAGTACCGTATGTTATGTGCAAGGTTGACGAAAGTCAACATTGGGTTGCAAATCAACAATAAAAAATAATTAATATTAATTAATTTAATATTTATTATTTTTTTTGCACTTACAACAAACGGCTGAAAGAATCGAACCAAAAAAGAGATAAACAAATTAAGTATCAAAAGGATTTTTAATGCACAAATAATTCTATATTTTGCCGCAAAAACCAAACTAAACCGAGCATCGCTATTCTGTGTGTTGATTTTACAAAAGTCAACTGCATACTATTTTATACTGCCATCCTGTATCGTGCATTCTGCTCTTTTTGTAGTGCTGCCACTGAGTTTAGTCATTTTTACACTTTATATACCATTCTTGTATGATGTCGCCACAGTACCCCCCTCCTAGCGGCGGAGTTTGGGCTACGGCGCGCTACGAATGTAGAGAGATTAATGCAGTTACTCGCGGTAGTCACACAGTTTCGTTGGAAAATGCACTACTCGGCCAGAACGCGTAACCTTTGAAGAATCAACTGGTGGTTTTGGAACCTTCTTCTCGAATATTTCTGCCCGCTCAGGATTGACTACGGAGGGTGGCGAGAGCTGCTTGCCAATATCTTCATCGTTGGTGAGGTAAGCTGGTTTCAATCTGTCCAATGCGACGGTACACCTGCTCCCTCTTCTGTTAATCACGAAATTTGTTTCCTCTCGTTGCAGTACTTGAAACGGTCCTTCATACGGTTGTTCAAATGGAGCTCTCACTCGATCGACGCGCACGAACACAAACTTGCTGGTTTGTAAGTCGCCGGAAACATAGACTGGATGATGTCCGTGTCTACTGCCGTTGATCGTCTTCAGCTGGGCCAATGTTCTACGTAATGCTGAAACAAAATCGGTCTCACCTGGCATTTTTTTAACAATAGCTGTCCTGGAGCACGTAACGGGTTTTCGTACAGCATTTCAGCAGAACTGGCGCCAAGATCTTCCTTCCTTGAAACCCAATAGTCTGGATAACTCGCGGAAGATCGTTGACTCTAACTGACGTCCTAAATCTGTGGTGATAATGTGAGGCACGCCATAATGTGCTATCCACCCTTCTATTAATGCGCCGGCGATGATTTCGGTGGTTATATCCGGTACAGGCGCCACCACGGGCCACCGTGAAACACAGTCGATGCACGTAACACAGTATCGTTTACCCTGCGACAGCGGTAGTAGTCCGATGATGTCTATATGTACATATTGGAAACGCTCGTCCACGCCTGCGAAACTGTCTATAGGTGACTTGGTGCGCCGGTGGACTTTAGACAATTGGCATGCGGTGCAATTCTTGACAAATTCGGCTGCGTCTCTCGCTAAACCTGGCCAGACGAAACCTGCTTGGATCAGTTTGCATGTGGCTCTTACGTCTGGGTGTGCTAAGTTGTATAGCTTTGTCATCACTAACTTACGGCAACAGGCTGGAACGAACGGTCGCACATTACCCTTGGAAATGTCACAAACGACTTCAATATTGTAAATGGGTAACTTATACGCAATGAGCTTTAACGGTGTGTTGGCTTGATGTTCAAGTATCACGCGCAGCTCGTCGTCTGACACTTGCGCCTTTGCTATCACGTCCACCTGCGCTGCCTCAAATTCAATTTGTACGATACGCGAAAGCGTATCGGCCACGCAATTGTCTGCACCAACTATATGGCGGATGTCAGTGGAGAACTGGCTTATGAATTCCAGCTGCCTAACGCGCCGTGGCGAAGTCTTCTCGCTGTTCTGCCTGAACGCAAACGTGAGTGATTTATGGTCAGTCGGAATGATGAATTCGCGCCCTTCGAGTGCGTACTTGAAGTGCTGTATAGCTTGGGCGATGGCGGTCAGCTCTCTGTCGTAAGTGCTGTATTTTAATTGAGCCGTATTCAACGCCTGACGGCATTGCATAGAAACGGTCGATAAAAATTAATCATCTCCAGGAAACGTCGTAGCTCCTCCACCGTTGCTGGAAGTGGAAAATCGCTTATTGCGGCTACCTTGCTTTCGGGAGGCTTGAAACCGTGTGCGCTGATGGAGTGGCCCAAGAATTCGATCTCGCTGCGCCCAAATTCAGACTTGGCAAAATTTGCAGTCAGACCAGCTTGTCGAAGACACTCAAAAACGGTTTGAAGATGTACTCAATGTTCTGCTGCGTTTTTAGAAGCGATGAGTATGTCGTCGATGTATGCGAAAACAAAATCTAGTCCAGCCAAGGTTGCGTTGATAAACCGTTGAAATGTCTGGGCTGCGTTTCGTAGGTCAAATGTCATGAAACTGAACTCGAATAATCCAAAAGAAGTAGAGGATGGTTGTCACGTAATGCAGAAAAGGGATCGGGTACCAGTCCGGCTTCGTTTGCGCATTCAACATGCGATAATCGTCGCATGGTCACCACGTGCCGTCGTTCTTCAGAACCATGTGCAATGGGCTTGTCCAAGGACTCTTTGACGGCTGACAAATGCCTCTTCGTAATAAATATTCCAACTCCTTCTTCGCTTCCTCCAATTTAGTCCCAGAAAGACGTCGTGGACGAGCGAATGCTGGAGCGCCAGTGGTCTCGATGAAATGTTCGACTTGCATATCGCACGTGCGAGAGTTATCGCGCAATGTGGCTAGGTCGCGGTATTCGCTCAACAAAGAACCATAGTCATCTGCAATAGGATTGGCTCGGATGCTGTTCACTTGCCCAACTGCTGCCGCTCCTTTTGCTGCTACGAGCGTTTTGTTGTCCACTAGTTGTTTCCGTTTCATATCAACCAGTAGGTTGTAATACCTCAAAAAATCTGCGCTGACTGTGGGATAGTTTACGTTCGCCATCACAAATGTCCATGGAAATTCGCGCCTTAACCCAAGGGACAATGACAGACGTTTGGTGCCGTATGTGCGTATTGTCGTACCATTTGCAGCAAACAAACTGGGTAATGATAAATCAACTGACTTGCCTCGCTTAATACCGTATTTTTTTGGTAGTACACACAGGTCCGCTCCGGTGTCGATCAGAAATGCGGTTGACGTTGCCGGATCTAGTACTGTCAGTTTTTCGGCTTTGCTTGAGAGGTATAAGAGCATGGCTGACAGCATCTGCGCGCCTGCTCTCCGAATCTGCTGTGAAACCAGCACCAACCAGAGTGATTTACGGACTGCGATCGCATTAGGCTCCTTCTGCGTGAGCACTGCTGGGTTCTCGACGGCTGGCGTCCTCCAAAGTCCAATTAGCTCAACCGCTGTTTGATCTGGTCTAAGCGCTGGCACTTAGCATTACACGTCGCTGCAGCTATTTGGGGGTAGTCTCTTGCTTCGCAAATTTTGTCGGCCAGTTTGGTTAACTCTACCAGGCTGGATGCCTGTAAGATGGCACGTACTTGCGGTGGTAGACGTTGGAGCCAGAGAGACTTCAGAAATTCGTTACTGACTTTGTCTTTCGACAGCGCTGTCAGCTCGTTCAACAGTTCCGATGGTCGGCGATCTCCTAGTTCGATCTCTGAGACATGTTGTTTATGTATGGTGCTTGCAGTTTTACCTCTCTGCTTCGTTCTAATAACAGCCTTTGTTTGTGTAAATAAAATTTAATTTGAATGCTTTAACTTTAAATTAAATCGAAGTTCGGCAAACGTTGTTTACGTCACTTAACCTCTTTCATCCAATGCGCTTGGATGTTTTTGGAACGTATTGAAATGACTCTTACTGCGCGATCACGTCGGGGTCACCACTTTAGCATAAATGCTACTTACACAAATTGTTTCTTGTTCTTAGGCGTGCAATACACGTGTATATATTAATTTAATATTTATTATTGTTTTGCACTTACAACAAACGGTTGAAAGAATCGAACCAAAAAAGAGATAAATAAATTAAGTATCAAAAGGATTTTTAATGCACAAATAATTCTATATTTTGCCGCAAAAAGCAAACTAAATCGGGCGTCGCTATTCTGTGTGTCGATTTTACAAAAGTCAACTGCATACTATTTTATGCTGCCATCCTGTATCGTGCATTCTGCTCTTTTTGTAGTGCTGCCACTGAGTTTAGTCATTTTTACATTTTATACACCATTCTTTTGTGATGTCGCCACAGTATTATTATTATTATTAGTATTTCTAGTATTATTAATATTATTAGTGTTATTTGTATTAGTTGTATTATTTGTATTATTTTTATTATTTGTATTGTTGTATTATTGGTATTACATGTATTATTTGTCTTATTAATATTATATTATTAGTATTATTTGTTTTATTTCTGTTATTAGTATTATTAGTATTATTTGTATTATTGGTATCATTAGTATTATTAGTATTGTTGCCGAAAATTGCGAATAATTTAAAAACCTTTGTCTGGCAATCATGACAAACAGCTGACTTGGAGACTTCGAAATTTTTAGTAAATTTCCGTTTTTCATTTTTTCTCTTTTCTTGTTTGTGATTGCTAGACAAAGGTGAGTAAATTTTTAGTTTAATTTTTCAATCGTAATTTTTTAATGTAATCATTAATCATGTTACAGATTTTTTAAGCGCAAAATAAAGAGTGCTATTTAAAATTGTCATAAGGGCATTTATATACTTATTTTTACAACAAGAAATTCTTAAAAAATCTTTATAATATGGAAAATGATAATGACGTGGAGCTGCCTCTTCAAAAAGGTTTAACATCAGCAGCCATACTTGAAGTTGGAGATGCAGATGGTGATGATAAAATCTCACACAAACACAATGAGGATGATGGTCAACATAGTAGACAACAGCAGCAGCCCAGCGCCAACATTACTCGAATAAAACAACTTAAGTTGCAACAACTAGAGGAGTCGTTGCAGATCAGGGAGAGCTATTTGCGGGAAAAATTTAAAATCCTCACTGCAGATAGTGACGACGAGGGTATCGTGGAATCACATTTGCCTGAAGTTGGGCAATTACCTCAGCTGAATGCACATCAAGCCGTAGCTGATGAACACTTTTCGCCACATGGCCAACCTCATCTACAGAGTACACCAAGGTTAGTAAATAATCCATCTCTTTATACCTTACAGATCGCTCCCACGCTTACGTCGTCTCAGCTAGCAGCGCGTCAATGCATACCGAGAGATTTGCCTACCTTCCGCGGCGATCCAGAAGAATGGCACATTTTTATAAGTGCGTACGAGCAAACTAAGCAAATCGCAGGTTTCTCCGATTATGAATGTCTAATGCGCTTACAGAGGTGCCTCATTGGTAAAGCGCGCGATGTAGTACGCAATATGTTGGTGTTGCCTAATATGGTTGGAGAAATAATAAACACTCTTCGTATGTATTTTGGACGACCAGAAATTATTCTAAATAAATTAATTAAGAAAATGCGTCAGTTACCGCCTCCAAGGGGTAGGCTGGGCGATTTAATTGACTTTTCAGTCAACATTAATAATGTAGTTGCAACAATTGAGGCATGTAAGCTGAATAGTTATTTTAATAATCCACTCTTATTACATGAGCTAATAAGTAAATTAGCTGAAGATATGAAGCTCAAATGGGCACTACATTCAGCATCAATAGCCGAACCTACACTTCGCGATTTTTCAGCGTGGCTCTCATCTTTAGCAAATGCGGCAAGTAGAGTAGCTACACCTTCTTTTTTAGATAAACCACTAAAAAAGGAAGGACGAGTGCACGTACATCAGACAGCTGAAATGACAACCACGGCAGTTAGGTGTTACATTTGTGGTGGCGGACATATAATAATGGAATGTGAAATATTCACGAACGAGCCTACCAATCAACGCTGGCGCATTGTCAAGGAAAAGAAGCTGTGCCGACAATGCTTAGGCGAGCATAGGCGTCGCTGTTTCAGTAATAAAGTGTGTGGCATTGATGGCTGCAATGCACGACACCACCCCATGCTGCATTCTCGGATAGACCAATCTACGCCAGCAATATCTTCTACAGCTAACAATGTTTCATCGGATATAGTAGAACAAATAAGTTTAAGTCCATACTCAAACAAAGCGTTACTCAACAACCATAATTCATCAGTGAATAAAAACTGGTCATATTGCCGAATTCTTCCAGTTACTTTATATGGCACCAAAAGGACTATTAACACATATGCATTGATGGACGATGGGTCAACACTAACGCTTATTGAATCAAGTCTAGCCGATGAATTGGGAAACGATGGTATCCAGGATGCGCTATGCATTAATTGGACAGGTAATATCAGTCGACAGGAAAATAACTCAAAAAGGCTCAACTTACAAATCTCTGCCAATGCTCCTCAAGCTAAAAAATTCCCATTGAAAAATGTCCGCACAGTAAGCAACTTACGCATGTCAGCAGAATCTTTTGCAGCTGATAAAATAAAGCAATGGTATCCGCATTTAGATGGCTTGCCTCTAGCAAGTTATACAAATGCTGTCCCCATGCTAATTATCGGCGTAAATAATCCAAACTTAATTTCAGCACTTAAGGTGAGAGAGGGTGGCTGGCAAGAACCCGTGGCGGTGAAAATACGTCTTGGTTGGACAGTTTTTGGTGGTGGTGAATTAAACCACCGTAACAACTTAAACCTACACAAATGTAGCTGTGGACAAGAAGCTGATAGGGAGCTTCATGAGTTAGTAAAGACATTTATAGTAAACGAGAATGTCGCGGTGGCTACTCCAAAAGCAGAATTACTTTCAGTTGAGGATCAGCGAGCAGAGGAAATAATGCGCAAGTGCCTGTTACGCGGAAACCGCTACGTTGTCAATTTGCCATGGAACACCGATACGGTCGAATTGCCAAATAGCTTGCCGATGGCATTACGTCGAGCGGAGTGCTTACGTCGAAAAATGCATGGGGACCCTGAATTGTGTCAAAAGCTAAAGGAACAAATCACTACTTTAGTCAGCAAGGGCTACGCAACTGAGTTGCCACCAGAAGCAATTAACGAGCGAGGTGGGAAGATTTGGTATTTACCAATTTTTATTGTGTGCAATCTACTTAAACCGAAAAAGCATAGATTAGTTTGGGATGCTGCAGCCAAAGCTGAAGGAGTGTCACTAAACGAATTTTTGCTGAAGGGACCGGATATGCTGCGACCACTTATAAACATATTATTAAATTTTCGTATAGGAAGAATAGCTGTCTGTGGTGACATTGCTGAAATGTTTCATCGAATTCTAGTACAAGAAGCAGATACTGATGCTCAGAGATTTCTATGGTTCAGCGAGACATTTAAAAATATTTGCGTTTATAAATTAAATGTAGTTAGCTTTGGTGCGCGATGTTCACCATATATAGCGCATTTTATTCGAAACCTGAACGCAGAAAGATTTATAGCTGAAAATCCTAGAGCAGTGTACGCTATTAAAAACAATCATTACGTGGATGACTTTATAGATTCAACAAATTCCATTGAACAAGCAATAGCATTAGCCGAGGCAGTTCGCAACATACATGAACGAGGTGGTTTCCATATGAGAAGTTGGACAAATAATGCACCAGAAGTTTTAGCTGCGTTAAACGAAAATAGTGAACAGACGGGTAAGTCGTTTGATAATAATATCGACACACTTCCGATCGAAAAAATTCTCGGCATGTATTGGGACCCGAAGTCAGATTGCTTTAAATTGTTTTAAAATTCGTTCGTTTACGTCGTAATGTTTTTGCAGATGAAATTGTACCCACTAAAAGAGAAGTACTTCAAATTTTAATGTCCATTTTTGATCCATTGGGACTGGCAGCTTGCCTCACATCATATTTAAAAATACTTATTCAGGATATTTGGAGAAGCGGAATCGACTGGGATCAACCACTGGTACCCGATCTTATGGGCAAGTGGTTAGCTTGGGTTGCCTGCATGCCTATTTTTGCTAATATTTCTGTACCCCGTTGTTATTCACCATACATAAAAGAAAGTTCATGTGATGTACAAATTCATACATTCGTAGATGCGAGTGAGTTTGCTTATGCAGCTGTATCATACTTCCGCATTAAAGATAAATATGGAGTAAGTACGAGGATCGTAGCAGCAAAAACCAAAGTCGCTTCAATGCGACCGATGTCTATTCCAAGAATGGAGCTACAAGCTGCTGTAATTGGCACACGGCTTATGAATACAATATGTAAAGTACACACATTTGATATTAAAAAGCGTTTCATTTGGAGCGATTCCAAAACGGTGCTAAAGTGGTTGCGTGGTGATCCACGTCAATTTCAACAATTCGTAATGTTTCGCATTGCAGAAATTCAAGAAGCATCAACCGTCGAAGAGTGGAGATGGGTACCCACGAAATTAAATACTGCAGACAGTGCAACGAAAACAAAACAAAGTCCCGAATATGTGCAGCGGTGGGTCGAAGGACCAGAATTTTTGCTACAAGACGAGGATAAATGGCCAACTGAGGTGGACTTAGGTCCGATGGAGACCAGTGAAACTCGTGCAAAATTTTTATATCATCGCGAGACACAACCATGTTTCAATTATGAATATTTTTCATCCTGGATCAAGTTGTACCGTGCCGTTGCAAATTGGCTACTCTACATTGGGAAACTAAAGGCTCGTTGTGGCGGTTTCAATGCTACAAACGTTATTTTGACTGTTCAACATATTGAGCGCGCGAAGCTCTTAATATACAAAAGCGTGCAACAGGAACTACTTGAAGATTGGTCGACACTGAAAATGGGGAGAATAATAGAAAGGAACAGTCCGTTATATAGGTTGCAGGTGTATATGGATAACAATGAGCTCATAAGAGTAAAAAACAGAGCGAGTAACTTTACGAATGAGTGTAAACCTCAAACTGATTTTATTTTCTTACCGCCAAAACATAGAGTATCGTACCTTATATGTGCGCACTATCATGAACGATTTTATCACATCCAACATGAAACTGCTTTAAATGAGGTCAGACAATTGTATTTCATACCAAAATTAAGACCATTATTCAAATCGATGCGACGAAACTGCAACGTATGTAAAATTTCATCGGCAATACCTCAAGCGCCGCAAATGGCCTTACTTCCCCCAGCACGACTAGCAGCTTTTCAACGTCCATTTACTCATGTGGGTATTGATTATTTTGGACCAATGGTGGTTATTGAGAATCGCAAAGCACTGAAAAGGTGGGGTGTTATAATAACTTGTTTGACTATCAGAGCCGTTCACATCGAAATCGCCCATAGTCTTAGTACTGACTCATGCCTAATGTGTTTAAGAAATTTTATTGCCAGACGAGGAGAACCTATCACCATCTACAGCGATAATGCAACGAATTTTCACGGTGTCGAGAACGTTTTAAGAAAGGAGTTAAAGAACATTGATTCCTCGGTTATGCAACACAAGCTAGCTCATCAAGGAATAGACTGGAAATTTAATCCACCGGCAGCACCACATATGGGAGGAGCGTGGGAGCGACTGATTAGAACAATTAAGACAGTGCTGTATCAAATTTCGCCATCTCAACGTTTTACGGATGAAAGTTTACGTACTGCATTACTTGAAGTTGAAATGATCATCAACTCGCGTCCTTTAACCTACGTGTCACTCGATAGTGAAGATGAGGATCCAATAACTCCAAACCATTTCTTGTTGGGGAGCGCTAATGGTTTGAAACCATTTTGTGATGCTAAGAGAATCGATCCAAAGATGTGCCTCCTACAATCTGAGATGTTTGCAAATCAATTTTGGCGACGATGGGTGCGTGAGATACTTCCGACATTAACGCGTCGCGGCAAATGGTTCAATAAAGTGAAACCCATTACGGTAGGAGACGTTGTGCTGATAGTTGATGAAACAGCTAAGAGAAATACTTGGGTAAAAGGCATAGTTATCGAGACAACTGTAGCGAAAGACGGCCAAGTAAGACGAGCTAAGGTCAAAACAACAAAAGGCTTTTTGGAGCGCCCTGCCGTAAAGCTGGCCATTCTGGATATCGGCAAAGTTGACGCAAACGACATTGGGGTCGCCTGCGGGGAGGAGAATGTTGCCGAAAATTGCGAATAATTTATAAACCTTTGTCTGGCAATCATGACAAACAGCTGACTTGGAGACTTCGAAATTTTTAGTAAATTTCCGTTTTTCATTTTTTCTCTTTTCTTGTTTGTGATTGCTAGACAAAGGTGAGTAAATTTTTAGTTTAATTTTTCAATCGTAATTTTTTAATGTAATCATTAATCATGTTACAGATTTTTTAAGCGCAAAATAAAGAGTGCTATTTAAAATTGTCATAAGGGCATTTATATACTTATTTTTACAACAAGTATTATTAGTATTATTTGTACTATTAGTAATATTAGTATTGTTAGTATTTTCAGTATTCTTAGTTTTATTACTATTATTAGTAGTAGTATTATTTTTATTATTTACATTATTTGTATTTTTTGTGTTATTAGAATTATTAGTATTATTTGTACTATTGGTATTATTTGCATTATTAGTATTATTAATATTTTAAGAATTTCTTGTATTATTAGTATTATTAGTACTATTAGTACTATACCATAAGTGCTATTACTATTATTAGTATTATTTTTATAATTTGTGTCATATGTATTATATGCATTATTTGTATTATTATTATTATTAGTATTATTTGTATTATTAGGTCGACATAAATCCTCTGCCTAACCCTCCCCTTGGGTGTCCACTGGTAATAGAGAGTTCTGATTGCAGACTCTTCTAGCTAAGAATTGGAGTTTGCTGTGATTCATTGGCGTGAGGTCTCTGGGGACAACAGAGGTAATGATGCACTAGGCTATACCGACGGATTCTTCAGGTCCTTAAGGGCTTTCCTTGTCAGATTGGCTACTGCGGAGCAAAAAATTCTGTTCAACGGCTTCTACGGCCAATATGGCTTCAACGGCAACAACTTTGGCTATACTGACACCGATTGTATGATTTTGAATTGTCTGAATTATAAATTGTCTGAACCCTGGGCTGACAGCTTCAGTATTCTGTTACCTCCGTCGCGTTAAAATCGTGGCTGACCTCAGGAAGCGCTCAATACCCGTCGCCGTTTAGTTGGTGGTGTAGGTGATGTTGAGCGAAGCTCCCTCTTAATATCTGCCTGGCTCTGAATGTATGTGCTCATAAGGCTATACATCAACCTTCACATGGACCTCACTGATTCAAAGGGACCCATGGGACATTTTAAAAGATGACTTCACGTCGGATGGAGATAGCGGACCTGAGTTGGGACCCATTAATATGAAAAATCTGTATTTAAATAAAAAATAAACAAAACTTTCTGCTATTGGAAGACCGGTAGCAACCCCAAGCAGGAGACTGCAAAACTCGAGTGGTACCTCCAACTCCACTTCCAATGAATTTAAAATCTCGTCGCAAATACCTTCTGGAAGCAGAAATACTGCATATACCAGTCGGTATTGTAGTGTCATATCAGACCATGACCACACGCAATTCAATGTATGCGATATGATGATCTGACACTTTAACCCAAAACACTTCAAATCATTATTTATAACCCAGAAACCCAAATTGTATAGCACAATAATTTATGAGTTGGTAATTCGACTCCTTTGTTTTGTCATTTCTTTATGACAAACGTTTTAGTGCATAGCGAAGTATAATTACTTCAGCATGTGCTTGGCAATTTGGATTTCGGAATCTAGAACACATTAAAATATGTCAAGTGTTGTGCGGATCATATTGCAAGCAATTGTGCATGCAATATGATTTGCCCTCTTTTACAGTTGGTCACCATATGTGTGTCAACTATTAAGAAATGATATTGTTGACCAATGACGTAAGTATATAGAAACTAAGAATTATATTAACCAATAGAATTTAAGTAAATAATAATAAAATGTAAAATAGATTATTGTAAAACCGAACTATGATCGGTATGAAAAATATAATTGTACGACAGTGGAGTTCTGAACGTTATATTGAAAAGTGTACACTAAGTTTGTTAATATGATAAATAAAAATAAATAATTGAATTTGATATTAAAATATAAAAATGTGTTTGAATTTTAAATTTATGGACTTAAAACCCCACATGGCGATCCTGCAAATTTGCCAAACGGCAAACGGAAATATTAGCTAAATAATATATTTAAAAAAAACTTTAATTTCATAAAAACAACTGCATTCGGCTCTAGAATCAATGTGCTAAAAGAAAAATAAAAAGTGAACTATTTGTACAAAAATTTAAAAATTTCAATAAATTTAAATATTATATCGTCTATAAAAACAAAAAACAAAAAAAAAAAAACAATGTGTTATTAGAAGTAAAGAGTGAAAGTGAATAAATTTTACAAGATTTAAAAATTTTTTTTACTATGCAAAAATTTCACTGCTTTGTTTGTGGCAAAAGCTTCAAACATAAATATATTAAACAGGCATTTATATAAGCATAATTATATAATAAAGTATGCAAATGCCATAGTAAAAGACAATGACAGACAACATTGAATATAAAAACTACAAATAATAAATATGAGCAAATAAATGTGAAAATATATACAAAAATAAAAGAAAAATCCAAAGAAAATTTAAATTATATTTTTAAAAATTAAAATTTGTGCTTTAATGTTTTTAAACTTAAAACTTATAGAAAAAGTATGTGAAATTTATACATAAAAGCATAAAAACGAAAAATAAAATATTTTGTTAAACAA